GTCTCCTGTCCCACCTGACTCTCCTTTGGCACCACCGCCTTGATCACCCCTCCCTGCCTCGTCTCCGAGGCATGGCCTCCCGTGTCCTTGTCTCTGGTCTCCCCCGGTCCCTCCCTCCCCTCCCTCCGGGGCCTGCCCCTACCTGCGTCCCCTGCGTCGAGGGGTGGCAGTGCGCCGCCCCTCACTCCTCCGAGTTTCCTCAGACCTAGGCTCCGCTTCAGACTCTTCATATGGACGTGTGGGGCCCCGCCCGCGTCCGTGGCCAGGGTCACGAGCGTTACTTCTTGTTGGTGGTTGACGACTACTCGCGTTACACCACGGTCTTCCCCTTGCGCAGCAAGGGTGACGTCACTGAGGTGTTGATCGACTGGATCCGCGCGGCTCGTCTCCAGCTCAGAGAGAGTTTCGGCTAAGGAGGCGGGGATTTTCTGCGTCTGCACTCAGACAGAGGCGGGGAGTTTTCCTCTGCTCGTCTGGGAGCCTTCTGTCGTGCACAGGGCATCCGCCAGACCTTCACGCTTCCGGCCTCTCCACAGCAAAATGGGATTGCTGAGCGCCGCATTGGCATGGTCATGGACGTCGCTCGTATGTCCATGATCCATGCGGTTGCTCCCCATTTTCTGTGGCCGTTTGCGGTTTAGTACGCAGCGCATCAGATCAACCTTCAGCCCTGGGTCTCCTTGCCAGAGACCCCCCCCACCTTGGGGTGGACGGGGAAGGTTGGCGATGCGTCTGCGTTTCGTGTCTGGGGATCTCGGGCGTTTGTCCGCGACTTGTCTGCGGACAAGCTGTCCCCCCGTGCTGTTCCATGCGTCTTCCTTGGCTTCCCCCCTGACGCGTCTGGTTGGCAGTTTTACCACCCCACCTCGCGCCGTGTTCTGTCCTCCCAGGACGTCACGTTTGACGAGTCGGTGCCTTACTACCGTCTCTTCCCCTACCGCACTGCGCCCCTCCCCCCGTCGCCGCTCTTCCTTGCGCCAAGTCCTCCCCCGGTAGACCCTCTCCCCCCTCAGGGTCCTGCCCCGTCAGGTGTGTCCCAGGTAGACGCAGTCGAGCCTGTCGAGGTAGCTGTTGACTCTGGTGCTGCTAGGGGTGCTGAGCCTGCGGGTGCTGAGTCTAGGGGTGCTAAGCCTGGGGGTGTTGCGTCTGGGGGTGCTGAGCCTGGGGGTGCGGAGTCTGGGGGTGCGGAGCCAAGAGGTGCTGAGCCTGGGGGTGCAGAGCCTGGGGGTACGGAGCCTGGGGGTGCTGAGCCTGGGGGTGCTGGGTCTGCTCGTGTGGCCTCTGGCGTTGTTTCGTCGAGGCGGGAGCTACCCTCTCCACAAGAGCTGCGCGAGTGGTTTGCCCGGCGTTGGAGCTGTGCTCCTGGAGCTGGAGGTGCTGCTGATACTGCTGACCCTGGGGTCGGCACTGGAGTTACTGGAGCCACTGGTCCTGGAGGTGCTCATACTGGCGGTACTTGAGCTGCTGGGACTGGGGGTGCTGCTGGGGCTGCTGGAGTTGGTCCTGCTGGCGGTACTGGAGCTGGCGGTCCTGCTGGAGTTGGTATTGCTGGAGCTGCTAGAGATGGAGCTGTTGGAGCTGCTAGAGCTGGAGCTGTTGGGGGTGTTGGCGCTGGAGGTGCTGTTGGCGCTGGTGCTTCTGAGGGTGCTGGAGTTGGCGTTGTTGGGGATGGAGGTGCTGCTGGCGCTGGTGCTGCCGCTGGGGGTACTGGTGCTGTCCCTGCTAGTTCTGGAGGCGCTACGTGGTAGTGGGCGTACTTCGTTCTGCTCCTTGAGCAGGTTCTTGGTCTCCCGCCCTCTACTGGTCCTGCTCCTCCCTTAGAGTGTCCACAGCCTGTCCAGTCGCGGTCACAGTTACAGCCCGCCTCCCCCCTACCTGCTCCTTCTCCCTACACTGGTCCTACTGGAGGTCTTGCTGAGTGTCGTGAGCCTGCGTCTCGTCCTGCGTCGCGTGTTCATGCTGCTCGTACTAGTCGTCGTGCTCCGCGTCCGCGTCCTCCTGCGATCCCAGGCACACACCAGATGGCACTACGTCCTTCCACTGCTCCTCTACGTGTCCCGTTGCCGTCTCCTCCAGAGTCCTCTCTTCCTGTTATTGCTGACCTGGAGTCTTACTCTCGTCATGCTGCCAGTCCTACTGTAACGCGTCTCCTGGCTACTGTTGTCACTGACCCTTCCTTTGAGTCCACTGCTGTGTCTGCCTTGGTTGCTGAGCTTGTCGACTTTGCTGCTCGCTGTCGTCTAGACTACGCCACTAGTCATGTTGCTGAGTCTGATTCTGTCTGTCCTCCGTCCGTCGGGGGTGAGTGTGCTCTTAGCACGGACGTCCTTGAGGACAGGCAGGAGGAGTTCAAGTGTTTTGCTGCTGCTTTGCCTCATCTCGTGTCCACGCTGATTGCCCCTGAGGGAGACCCGGATGCACCAGTCATCCCAACTCCTCGATCGTACACTGAGGCGATCGAGGGTCCCTACTCCTCACAGTGGCAGTTAGCCATGGACGCAGAGATGGCTTCCTCGAAGTCCACAGGCACCTATGTCGACGAGGATCCCCCACCTGGGGCGAACATCGTCAGTGGCATGTGGATTTTCCGGGTGAAGTGGTCGCCGGGTTCTCCGCCTGTCTTCAAGGCGCGTTACGTGGCTCGAGGCTTCAGTCAGCGGCAGGGAGTTGACTACTTTCAGACCTTCTCTCCCACCCCGAAGATGACCACTCTTCGGGTGTTGCTGCACATAGCCGCTCAGCGTGACTACGAGCTTCACTCTCTTGACTTCAGCATTGCTTTCCTGCAGGGCAGCCTGCACGAGGAGATCTGGCTGCGCCGCCCACCTGGCTTCATTGGGTCGTTTCCTGCAGGTACCCAGTGGAGCCTCCGGCGGCCAGTCTACGGTCTCCGCCAGGCGCCCCGTGAGTGGCACGACACACTGAGGACTACACTTGCGGCTCTTGGGTTTGCTCCTTCTACAGCCGACCCGTCGCTGTTTCTGCACACCGACACCTCTTTGCCGCCGTTCTACATCCTCATGTACGTTGACGACTTGGTCTTTGCCACTGCTGACACTGCTGGACTCGCCCACGTGAAGTCGGAGCTGCAGAAGAGACACACGTGCACAGACCTGGGTGAACTGCGCAGCTACCTTGGCTTGCAGATCACCCGGGACAGAGCACAGCGCACCATTACCCTGACTCAGTCACACATGGTGCAGCAGGTCCTTCAGCGCTTCGACTTCACGTACTCCTCGCCTCAGGCCACTCCTCTGTCTACTCGCCACTCGCTCTCAGCTCTGCCTTCGAATGAGTCCGTAGAGCCGAGTGGCCCGTACCCAGAGCTTGTTGGCTGCCTCATGTACCTGATGACCAGCATACGACCTGACCTTGCATACCCTCTTAGCATCTTGGCACGCTATGTTGCTCCTGGGAGACACCGACCAGAGCACATGGCTGCAGCGAAGAGGGTGTTGCGCTACTTGTGCAGTACGTCGGGCATGGGGCTAGTGCTTGGAGGGCGACGTTTAGTGGTCCTCATAGGTCACGCAGACGCTTCTTGGGCTGACGACCAGGCTACGCAGCGGTCGTCAAAGGGTTGCACCTTTAGCCTTGGTTCCGGCTCTGTTTCGTGGTGGTCTACCCGCTCGTCTTCTGTTCTCGGCTCCAGCTGTGAGGCTGAGATCTACGCGGGGGCCATGGCTGCACAGGAGCTACGGTGGCTCACCTACCTGGTGACTGACCTAGGAGAGCCGCCTCGTTCTCCTCCAGTTCTGTACGTAGACAACAAGGCCATGCTGGCCTTGTATCGGGAGCACAGACTGGAGCACAGAACAAAGCACATTGCTCTTCGCTACTTCCTTGCTTGTGAGCTGCAGCAGCGTGGTCAGCTGCGCCTTGCTTACGTGGCTTCTCAGGCCAATACTGCTGATATCTTTACCAAGGCACTTGCGCCTTGTGATCATCAGCGCTTTTGTACGATGCTAGGTCTTGTGCCTACTTGGCCTTACTTGCTCACTTCTTGACCTTGCTTGTACTGTGATCTTACAATGCCTGCACTTGCTTGTTTACCTTTATATATGATCTTGCATGTGAACTGGCCTTGTGGCCTTGAGCTTGTGCTCGGACTGTGTGGTGACGTTGTGGTCCACCCTGAGCTTGCTTTGCTTTGCTTGACTGGTCGTGTGACCTCTTGTTCTCCCCCACTTTGCCTATGGGGGTGTGTCAAACTCATATGCTATAGTCTGTGTAGGGTGTAGTGGGTTAGACAATATGGGGTACAACACCTCTAGGTTTTCCTACTTGTACCCACCTGCTTGCTAGTTCTTTCACTTCCTCATTTCTTCACATAACATTAACATTCGCGTGAAGGGCTGCTAGTGTATGGTTACCATACGTGTTAAGCGAGCTACCAAACGTGGTAAGCGAGTTACCAAACGCGTCAAGCGAGTTACCAAATGCGTTGGAATCGTTACCGTACGTGTTATAGTGCCCCATGTAGGTTACCATTGACATATTTTCCCTTCAAAGTATAATACCCTGAAGTTGAAGCTGATAGTTGGGCCACGGCTTTAACTCTACGCTATAAACGAAAACTGGGCAGTAATAGTACTATAGAAGCGACAATACTGCGCCTTTGGCGTTTATTTTCAGTAACAATGCTGGCTCAACTAAAAACCCATGTAACTACGCTTCTCTCTGTAAGCTGCTCCTTTTCAATTCAGAAACCCGTGATCGTCAAATTTCTTAACACTTGACCCCACCAATGGAAACGTAAATAAGAAACTGATGGGGTCCAAACTTTGGAACGCCAACTATTATCACAATACTCAACCATACTCAAGCACCAAACCAGCTTGCCTGCCCTAATCATCTTGTAGCGGATCTGACGCACCCTAACTCGAACGAACGCCTAGCACAGAACCAGCCATAGCTAAATCAATTTCAGCTGACTGACTTGCCTTGCCACCAGTCAGCTCCGGCACAAGCACACAACCGCGACTGCCACGTGCCATTACATGGCTTTAGCGTTATCTCTAGCTCTTCCGTCACCTGCCAGAACGCCATGGAGCCATCACCCATGCGTCGCGAATCGAGCTGCTGAAAAGTCTCGTTCGTCATTCACGGCGCCGCTCGTTAATACTAGAATCCGCCTCCGCCCGTTAAATACACGCCCGTGCTTTCGAGTCTCCGCCTCTTCCGCTAACAGCGATGGTGGTCCTTCCGCGGAAACTTCCTCGGTCCCTTCCGCATCTCCCACCACGGGTGACTTGAATGACGTCACGCCGACATCAGCGGGTCGCGATACCGAGTCTGGCAAGGACTCGCAGCGGCAATCAACTGCCACGTCATCAGTCGGCCGGTCCCGCCGCGTCGCGGACTCGACGGACTGGATAGCTTCGGCAGTGACGCGTAGGTTCGGCATCGGCGCGGGGCTGGCGTGGGTGGGGTTCCTGGCGTTCGGCGTGGTGTCGGAGCAGATTAAGACGCGGCGCGAGGTGTTTCTGGAAGAGAGCAACACGCGGTGAGCAAAAGGCGGGGCGGCGGGGTGGGAAGAGATGGCAGAGGCGGGGGAGGCAGGGGCAGGGGAGGCAGGGGCGGGGGAGGCTCCACACCTCAAAAGGGAGACCTGGTGCTTGTTTTCCGGTCTCTTACGCATTCACATTCCCTCTCCCTATCCGTCCCCCCGTTTGCATCATTTGCATGTCTGAACACCAGGGATGTGGAGGACGCAGAGAAAACTAGGCTTCCACACAAAGTCACATTCACCATATCTGAGAGTGGGGGGGGGCGCCACTCCCCGAAAAGGAATCCTGGCGCTCATCTCTCTTGTCTTTAATATCCCCTCTTCTCTCCTCCCCCCCCCCCTCCTCCACCCCACCCTCCTGTTTGCGTGTCTGATAACCAGGGATGTGGAGGATGCGGAGGAGACGGAGCTCCCCAATGGAGTCCGATTCACCGATCTGAGAGTGGGAGGCGGCGCCATTCCTCAGAAGGGAGACCTGGTGCTCGTCTCCCTTACAGGCCGCGTCTCGTTACCAGCACAAGCCGAAGTTGCTGATTCAGAATCTGAATCATTAACATTTATCGACACCACAGCGCCTGGGGCGCGGGACCTGGTGTTTTCGTTTGGCATTCGGCCGTTCCCCAGGGGGGTCACAGAGGGGCTGGTGTCGGCAATGGCAACGATGCGGGCGGGTGGGAGGAGAAAAGTTTTGGTGCCCGGGGATCTTGGAGACGGAGGGGGTGGTGTTGGTGGTAGTGGTAGTGTTGGTGTTGGTGTTGGTGGGGCTGTCCTGGAGTATGTTGTTGAGCTCAAGCGCGTGTCCATCCCCCCTTCATAGGGTTTCTCTAAGGCTCTGCTGTTATGGGCCAGCATGCATGCATGTGTGAAGCTGGTGGGGCTGTGCTGGAGTATGTTGTTGAGCTCAAGCGCGTGTCCATCCCGCCATCGTAGGACTCTACTCTTTCAGCAGCGTTCAGGGCTGCAGTAGAGCGACGCGCTTCATACATGCATGTGAAGGGTGGGGTGGGAGGGGAAGAAGGGGGTGGTGTTGGTGGGGCAGTGCTGGAGTATGTTGTTGAGCTCAAGCGCGTGTCCACCCCGCCATCGTAGGACTCTACTCTTTCAGCAGCGTTCAGGGCTGCAGTAGAGCGACGCGCTTCATAGATTCATGTGAAGGGTGGGGTGGGAGGGGAAGAAGGGGGTGGTGTTGGTGGGGCTGTGCTGCAGTGTGTTGTTGAGCTCAAATGTCAAACACTCCTTTTTTCACGTGCTGGAGTGTGTTGTTGAGCTCAAACGCGTGTCCATCCCACCGTCATAGAGCTCTGCTGGGGCTGTTTTTATGGGCCAACATGCATGGATGTCTTGAGTACGTTTTGGTGCGACGCTGGAGTATGTTGTTGAGCTGAAGCGTGTCTCCATCCCACCGTCATAGAGCTCTGCTGGGGCTCTGCTGGAGCTCTGCTGGAGCTCTGCTGGGGCTCTGCTGGGGCTCTGCTGGGGCTCTGCTGGAGCTCTGCTGGGGCTCTGCTGGGGCTCTGCTGGAGCTCTGCTGGGGCTCTGCTGGGGCTCTGCTGGGGCTTTACTGGGGCCCTGCTGGGGATCTGCTCTCTTGTGTTGCCAGCAAAGCTGTCAACGTGGCATGGCAGCTTCATGTCATGAGCAAGGCATGCAATCCATCCAATGCGTGTGTTGGGCTCAGAAGAAGCCTGCATGTGTGAATCAGGGGCTCCTGTCGTGTCGCTGTTGGGTGGTGGTGCAACACCAGAGTGGTGTGTTGCAGAGCTGTTGCGGCTAGTCTCAAATTTTACAATGTAACAATGTACAGTACAGTGTTTCTGGTGTGATGTACTTGTGTTTCAGTGTTTCCCACCAGGCAGAAGGGTTGCTATTCCTAGACATTGACTGATACCAGTAGCTCAGTTGGGGTGCATTGCTGCAGCAGCCGAAGCTGCCACTGTATTCAAGTGCCTCAGATCAGAAGCTGCTGTTATGTTCCGTGGGTGGCACAGCATAGGTATGATTGCTGCTTCAAAGGCGCGGCCATTGCCCATGGCCCGTCCATCCGTTTCACACTACCGTACAGTATTCCATCTGCAGGGCTGCCCCAACAGCAGCAACATGCTTTGCCCTGCAATCCGTAGGAAAAATGTTTTTTCAGTGCAAGCAGCTGTACATGTAAAAAAAGTACATCAACATCCAGTTTGATCAACTTACTGAGGAGAACAGCTACAGAAACAGATCGACCCACGCAGTCCCACCAAAGAGCACATGGCAGAAGAGCCTACGGTACTATACGTAACTGTCAGAATGAGAACTACAGCGGAAATGAGTTGTGTTGACAGAATTGGGGTACATCACCTAACCCTAACTAGTTGTACCCCATATAGCCCAACCCACTACAGGCTATAATATTTGACACACCCCCATAGCCTAAGTGGGGAAGGCCAATCAACAACAAGCAACCTACGGTCACAAGACCAGTCAAAAAACAAGAGAAAGAAAACAAAGCTCAGGGTGGATCACAACGTCACCACCTAATCTGAGCACTAGCAAAGGGCCACAAGGCCAGTCCAAAAGTGTGCAAACAAATATATATATATAAGGTACAAGCAAGCAACAGACAAAGAGCACCCTACAGCAGTCAACTAGACCCAGTCTCAACGAGGCCTAACTGCAGACAAAACCGACGGTGGTCACAAGGCTGGAGGGCCTTGGTGAAGATGTCTGCAGTGTTGGCCTCGGAGGCCACAAAGTCCAGACGAGCCTGTCCGCGTCTCTGCAACTCTCGAAGGAGGAAGTACCTGACGTCGATGTGCTTCACTCGGCTCTCCAGTCGAGGCTCACGACACAGGAGAATCATCGCCCTGTTGTCAGCAAACAGGGTCGGTGCAGAGCTCGGCCGCTCACCAAGGTCAGTGAGCAAAAAGGTCAACCAGCGTAGCTCCTGAGCAGCAAGGGCCCCAGTGTAGATCTCGGCCTCTGCGGTAGAAGTCGCAACAGAGGAGGACCGAGTAGACCTCCACGAAACAGCTCCAGAACCCAGGCTGAAACAGTAACCCTGCGTAGACCTCTGAGTCTCAACGTCGTCAGCGTAGGAAGAGTCACAGTGACCGGTGAGTACAACTGGTTGTGTCCCTCCAAGTACAAGCCCCATGCCTGATGTCGCGCCAAGGTACTTCGCCACCCTCTTAGCCGCCGCCCAGTGAACAGGACGCTGTCTCCCAGTCGCAACAAAGCGAGACAGGATGCTAAGGGGGAAGGCGAGGTCCGGGCGAGTGCACGTCATCAGGTACATGAGGCAGCCCACCAGCTCTGCGTAGGGACCACTGGACTCGAACGGCTCGTCAGGAAAAGGCCCAGTGAGTCTGTGGTCTACAGCAAGAGGAGTGGGGGCAGGAGAAGAGTCCTGAAGCCCGAACCGCTGAAGAACCTGCTGCACCATGTGTGACTGAGTGAGAGTGATGGTGCGAGCGGCTCTGTCCCTGGAGATCTGCAGGCCAAGGTAGCGGCGCAGTTCCCCAAGGTCAGTGCAGGTGTGTCTCTTCTGCAGTTTGGACTTCACCTCCGCCAGTGCAGCTGTGTCGGCCGTGGCAAAAACAAAGTCATCAACGTAGACTAGGACGAAGAAAGGTGTACGGCCACGACGAACAAACAGCGACGGGTCGGCGGAAGACGGCTCAAACCCGAGGTCGGAGAGAGTAGAGCGGAGAGTGTCATGCCACTCACGGGGTGCCTGGCGGAGACCGTAGACCGGACGTCTGAGGCTCCACTGGGTCCCAGGCGGGAAAGTGCCAGTGAAGCCCGGAGGACGACGCAGCCTGATCTCCTCGTGTAAGCAGCCCTGGAGGAAGGCAGTGGAGAAGTCAAGAGAGTGTAGCTCGTAGTCTCTCTGCGCTGCTACGTGCAGTAACACCCGAAGAGTGGTCATCTTCGGGGTGGGCGCGAAGGTCTGAAAGAAGTCAACCCCCTCGCGCTGACTGAACCCTCTAGCCATGTAGCGTGCCTTGAAGACTGGGGGAGATCCCGGCGGCCGCTTCACCTTGAAGATCCACATGCCGTCAACAATGTTCGCCCCTGGGGGGGGAACCTCGTCAACGTAAGTGCCTGTGGACCTGTAGGAGGCCATCTCTGCGTCCATGGCAGCTCTCCACTGAGAGGCCCAAGACCCTGACACTGCCTCAGCGTAAGTGCGAGGAGTAGGTATGTCAGGAGCGTCGGGGTCTCCCTCAGGAGTGAGCAGCATGGCACAGAGATGAGGCGAAGCAGCTGCCAGGAACTCTAGCTCAAACTGTCTGTCCTCTAGGACGTCACATCCAGGGGCACACACACCCCCGGCAGACAGAGGACGGACAGGAGGAGCTGCCACAACTCGAGTGGCGTAGTCAAGGCGACGCGTAGCAGTAAAGTCAGTGATAGCGGCAGTGAGGACCGCGACGGAGGAAGGAGAGGCACGAGGGTCTGTAACAAGAGAGGCGAGAACACGAGAGAGAGTGGGGCGGTACGTGCGGTAGTAGTCAGTGACCGGAGTGGACAGGGAGGCAGTGAGGGAAGACTCAGGAGGACGAGGAAGGACAGACGGAGGAGAACGAGGAGGACGAGGACGAAACAACACGGTACGGAGGTCAGTGACAGGGGACGAGGGACGAGCACGAGGAGGGCGAGAGGCCCAAGTGTGGGCGAGAGGAGGGGGGGACGGAGGAGACTGAGAACGAGGGAAGACAGCCGGAGTGGAGTCCGGAGGAGGAAACGTGGGACCGAACACAGGAGGAGAGGAGGGGAGACCAAGGGCTCGAAGGCCAGAAACAGGGGTCGGAGGCTGCTCCGGCAGCTGCGGCGGCTGCTGCTGCTGCTGTGGCTGTGGCTGCGGCTGCTGCTGCTGAAACTCCAACCGCTCACGCTCCACCCGCTGCTGAACCTCCGAACTCTCACGCTCCAAAAGCTGCTGCTCCTCACGCTCTAGACGGCGAAGGGCCTGGTAACGAGTCGGGTAGGGGTGAGGAGGAGGAGTGGTGTCAGGAGACGACGAAGAAGAACCGGCTCCACCCTCGACAGGACCCGGCTGAGCACCCCCAGAGCGAGGACCCCCTATGGCAGCACGACCAGTACCTGTAGGAGGTGTACCCGCACCCCCAGTCGTGGCGCCGCCAGTGGCACCAGCACCAGCCCCAGACTCTCCAGCTCCAGAAACACCACCAGCTCCAGCACCACCACCGACTCCAACACGCTCGGGACATGCAGCTGCGGCAGGTGCACGCTCAGCTCCAACTCCAACACCCCCAGAACCAGCACCGCCAGAGCCCTCACCTCGAGCACCAACACCCTCAGAGTCCGCAGTGGCCGGGAGAGGAAGCGCCGACGGCTGCTGCGGAGGCTGTGAGGACGACTGTGGGGAAGGAGGAGAGACCTGGGGGGGGACCAAGGGAGAGGGGGTAGCCTGCGACACACCTGACGGAGCGGGAACCGGGGGGGGTACCGGAGGAGAGGGAGCGGGAGGAGGAGGAGCTGGGGCGAGGAAGAGGGGAGGGGGGGGAACCGGGAGACCTCGACAAGGGTACCGGACGAAGTAGGGGACGGACTCGTCGAAACTGACGTCACGAGAGTCAAAGAACCGGTGGGAGGGAGGGTGGTAAAAGGTGAAGTCAGAGGAGGCCTCAGGGAAACCAAGGAAGACACAGGGGACGCCGCGAGGTGAGAGCTTGTCCGCAGAGGTGTCGCGGACAAGCGCCAAGCAGCCCCAGACACTAAACCTCGACGCAACACCAGGGGACGCTGTCCAAAGACTGGTCGGTGAAGCCCCTGGCCGAGAGACGCGAGGCCAGAGGTTCAGCTGGTGAGCGGCGTACCGAGCCGCGTAGGGCCACAGAAAATGGGGCGCGCGGGCGTGGATCATGGAGGTGCGGGCAATCTCCATGACCAGGCCTAGCCGGCGCTCAGCAACCCCATTCTGCTGTGGAGAGTCTGGAAGAGTCCAGGACTGGGTGATGCCCTGCTCAGCACAGAATCTGGCGAGAATGCCGGAGCGAAACTCACCCCCACGGTCGGAGTGGAGACAACTGACACGACGACGACGAGTACTCTCGGTGGCGAGCAGCCACCGGATCAGCGTAGAAGTCACGTCGGAATTCTTCGCCAAAGGGAACACGGTGGTGTACCGAGAGTAGTCGTCAACGACCACTAGGAAGAAGCTCTCTCGCTCAGGTCCAAGCCGTGGAGCGGGGCCCCAGACGTCTAAGTGGAGTGTCTCAAAGGGCTCGGAGGCTGGACGAAGGGAGGAGGAGTGAGGAGTGGCGCGCAGCCGACCCTGGATACAAGGACCGCACGGAGGAGCGGGGAACGGCGGGAGCGGCGGGAGGTCGCGGGGGAGGCCTAAGTCAAGACGCTGACTGGACATAGCGCGGAGACGAGAGAGGGACGGGTGACCAAGGCGGTGGTGCCAGAGGAGGGCAGGGTGGGACAGCGACCGACACGAGCACGACGCAGCCACTAGACCTGGCACAGCTACCTGACTGGACCTGGCTACCTGGTGGGATGGGGGAACCGGACGGGTGTCGGTGTGGAGGGTGTACAGACCAGAGCCCGGCTCCTGACGAAAAGTGGCCAGAGGGGCGTACGTGTCACCGTCCACACAGACTGCAGTGTCACCCGAAGGCTCAAACCAGACCCCGACGTGCTGTCTTGCCAGAGGAGCCACACCAACCAGGTTCCTAGAGAAAGTAGG